CGCTGCGAATAGCTAGCGCTATTCAGATAGGAAAAAACCATCACTGAGTAAAACTAATGCTTTATTATAAATACTGTAGAAAAACTTAATACAACCAACTGGTTTTTTATCTGTCCAATTTCGTCTGCAATTCGCAATTCACTCCACAGAATGGCTGAAAATTCAATATTTAATTAATTTCTATTTCTACCTTTTCCTTCGATCTTCCACCAATTCAATGACAACTATGAAATTGGAAACCAAAAACTCTCGGGAAAAATTAATAGTAGTCAAAACGAGCAGTATTCTCACGATTTACTAAGGTTTTATTGATTTTTCTTCGACTAATGTCTTACGGATCTCAAGAAATAACTGAATGTGTGCGTTATGCAAGGCTACGTGACATATCGCCAATGATAATTTCAGTTTCAAGCGATGACATAAACTGTCAAAATAATTTGCTCATCAAATAAAAATTGTTTTGCGACGAATTGAACTCGCTACCATTTATGAATACTTGCGACCAAAATGGTTTGGCTTATATCTAGATGAAAGAAAAATGATCATTTATTCAGGAATATTTAATGAACTTTTATTTAGTGTTAACATCTGTGAAAAGGTTTTCTTTTAATGTAAATGATATCATTTCAGCCTGAAGTTCACTTGGCGGTGAAATAAAATCCAATTTAATCTATCAAATTAAATTCAGCTGGAAATTTGCAGTTTAGGAAAAAGTATTATTAGATGTTTTCATTTTCTGATCTTCAGACGTGGATTTTGGTATGGATAATGTCCATATGTCTTCTCAGATGACTTTTCAACGTAAAACGATTCATACAAATCTCGCATCGAAACGGTTTATTACCGCTATGCTTCCGCATATGCCTTTTCAAATGAGTTATACCAACAGTGACAAACTTCTTGCAGATATGGCATTCATATCTACGGTTTTTGCACACTTTTTCGTGGGCATCTCTTTCGGCCCTCTGAGAAAATCCACTGAAACAGCCACGGCAATGGAACGGGACTTGTTCAGTGTGAGTCGCTTTATGCTTCTTCAACTGTTCCATTCTTGTGAATTCTTTGCGGCAAATATCACACCGATATGGTTTCTCGCCAGTGTGAGTACGCATGTGACGACTAAGATTCCCGTACTTGCTGGAATAACCACACATCTGGCACTTATTTTGCTTCTTTGACTCCAACTGGTTTGATGAAGCTGATGATGATGGTCGTGTAGTAGTTTTCAACGTACGTGAGCTGGATTTCGTGTTCTTTGTGAAAGAAGGTCCTACTTCTGCTGGCCCAATATCTTGATTGACATCAACCCCAATGCAATCATCTTTATCCATATCTTCCATTTTTACATTATTTTTGACGACTTGGCTGTTATTAAAGACAATGAGAAGAAAATGATTTATTGTAAAGGATAAAAAATAAACGACTTTGAAACCACTTCGAAAATATCAAAATAATATCTACCGATCATGACTTACTGATCATCAAAAACTGGTAAATGTGCTCGACTTTCAACCATCTTGGATTGAAACGAAGACATCAAGGCATTATCATCCAGTTCATCGGTCGTTGTTGCATGTCTGTCGAGTTCGTCATTACTTCCGTCGTCGCTTGAGTCATCAGTTTCGACCAAATCAATCTCTTGAAACGGTCCATTGTTTCTCAATCGATCACTGAATTGAGTGGAATTATTTTCTATTTGGTAGGAACTTGTATCTTGGAACATACTTGCATCGCGTTGGTCCATCATTTGGTCTTCAATTCGTGAATGGACTTCGAACCGGTTGTACGTTTCCACCAATCTGCAAAACAATATTTAAAATTATTTTTGAATTCAAAGGGATACAGAATAAAGGAAAGTTTCTTATACGAACCGAGTAATGGAAGAGTCCAAAAAGTACTGCTTGAACGTTGGGTTGAATCCTAAGCCATTGCTCCTAAATGTCAATTTTATTTTGCCCAAAGATTGAAAGGCTTGATTTTCAAATGCATTGAGCATGTTTAACATCTCTTCTCCCCAATTCATTGATGACATCTTCAACTGCGAGAAATTCAAATTTATTTTTTCGATTTGAAAACAATATTCCAAATATAAAAGAGAATGATTGAGTCACAAAACAAGTCTGTATGTTGTGTTTCACTTTATCAGACGCCATATTGGTTTTTATGAGCATTGAGCAAACCAATTTTTTGTCTCTTCTAACACACAGACTTTACCAAAGCAAATGTAATTCTCTTACATATTTCGATGATTATAAAAACACGAGGTACGAAATCAAACAGAAAATCAGTGATTCGGCAATATTTTTCTCACTTTCTAGAAATGAATATGATGAATTAAACTTGATATCGCCAAAAATGATAGAAATTTTCAGATGAATAGATGTGCGTGCTTGCACAAAGAGAAGCGGTATACTAGTGATACTATTTATGAGTATTTTATGAGAAGCTACCATGAGCTGTCAAAATGGGATTTCACCGTACAGACAAATTCGATGTTCTTTTTGAATATTTGCGGCGAAAATGGCTGGAATATGAAAATTGAGAGAATGATTAAAAAATCCAGTTGGGAAATATTCATTTTATTCGTTAAGGAATGTTGATTTTATTTAAGACAACTCTTCTTATAATGGAAAATAGAAATCGGTTGATTCATAATGTTGGATTGAATTTTTGAATTTAATTAGCAATTTATTCAAAATAGAAAGAAGATATTCTAACGTTTAAATTGAATTTACGCGTTGATTAGACCATGGATGGTGTCCATATGTCTTTTCAGGTGAGTTTTCGACGAAATACGCTTCATGCATATCTCGCATCGAAACGGTTTCTGACCGCTGTGCACACGCATATGATCTTTCAACTTATTTTTTTGTAAATTGACAAACTTCTTGCAGATATGGCATTCATATCGACGTCTTTTGCATACTTTTTCGTGACCATCTCTTTCGGCCTTCTGAGAAAATCCTTGGAAACAGCCACGGCAACGGAACGGGATTTGTTCGATGTGAGTCACTTTGTGGTTCTTCAATTTCTCCATTCTTGTGAATTTTTTGTGGCAAATATCACATCGATACGGTTTCTCGCCGGTGTGAGTACGCATGTGACGATTGAAGGTTCCCATATGATTGCTGGAATATTCACAAAATTCGCACTTGAATCGCTTCTTCATCGCCAACTTGTTTGGATTTTTATTTTTCAATGATTCTTGAGTCAAAACCGAAGGAGTTTTTTGGGCGTCATCAACGACATTTGATCGATTGTTCGAAGTTACAGTGCATGTAAGTTCGTTTCTTGAGTTCTTATCGCGATTCACATCAAATACAGTCATCGGAAATCCATCGTTCATTTCCATCATTACGTCGGTTTCTTCATCTCCGCTTTGCGAATCATCTTTTGGGCTGTCGACACCATTGAACTTGACATCAGTGTAGCTTCCATCGTCGTCATCGTACACAAAATCGTTTAATCCAGATGTTCTGTCAGTTGTATCGTTCTGAAAATCAGATGTGGTCTCTAACTGTTCGAGTTTCGGCTGACCTATTGCACCATCATCCTCATCACTTGAGTCGATGATTTCGACTGGATCAGTCATGCAATGACTATTCGTTTGAATTGAACTTGGCTTGGTCGCATTGGAACCAATTTCGATTTGATCTTCAACCATCGATTCGAACTCAAATTGACTATATGTACTGTTGATCCTGCAACACTAACGAAATATTAGAAATACACCAAATGGCATTTGGCTATCTTTACTCACCGATCATATGAAGTTCGGAGAAAATATTGCTTGAATTCGGCACTAAACGATAAACCACTGCGTTTGAGTGCCATTTTAATGTTCTTCAACGAAGTTTTTGTCTGGCTGTCGAATACAGCAAGCATCGTGTCCATCTCTTGGCTCCAGCTCATCATTTTTTATCTAATTGGAATAAATTGGAAAGAGATTATATTGGGCACTATTTGTTTTTGTATTTTTTACTACAATTCAATCATAGTATGCTATGAGATCGAATGGAATTTTTGTTTCTATCTTTATCGCCTAAAATTTTATGTAATTCTCGAATCAAAGTTCATAGAATTGTTGAGTTTTTCAAACTCTACCTTTCACTTTAATTTTTTAACAAATCAATGACAAATGTGAGTTTTGTTCTGGTTAATTTTTGTGGAGAAATCAAAATTAGTTGATATCAAACAGTAATTTAACGATATATTGTGCTTATTTACACGTTAATTGGTTTTTTATCAAACTTTATTAGTCCGTATGGTGCGGAAAGGAATAAAAATCCTATATGTCATCTTATACACGTGTAATGTCATTGACTGTGCTATATAGCCAAAATATTTTCATAAAGTGTCAAATCGGGTCATCGCCATATTCACTTTGTGGTGAATTTGGGTTTCTGGTACAGCTTTTACTCTTGAATATCTTGATTGACTTAGATTCAAAATGAAAGAAAATTTGAAATAAATAAAAAAAAAATAGATTTGTTCGTTGAGAAGTTTTCATTTTATTTGAAATCAAAATATATTTTTATAAATCTTCATCAATCATTGGAATAATTCATATGGTTCCATCACACCATTGCTGCAAAGACACTTAGTTATTAGCGCCATCTAGTTCGTGCGAGAAAAAATCTTCACATTTCACACACGTACTATTGAGTTACTTCACTATGCAATACAGTGAGGGCGCCAGTGATACGTGTTTTGCAGCAACCCAGTGGGTTCCATGGATTAAATTTTGAAATATCGTTAATGAATAGTGAAAGAGGCTCTTGGAAAAAAGCTCTAGAAGTTATGAATTGGTTGACATCATGAGTTGGGAAGTGTGAAATGCATTCAGGCGTGGATGGTCCCCAAATGTTTCTTCATTTGAGTGTCGCTCTTCGATTGAATTTATGCATTGATTGTGGTGTGGATGGTGTCCAAATGTTTCTTTAGACTAGATTTTGCCGTAAAACGCGCCATACAAATCTCGCATCGGAATGGTTTTTCGCCGTTGTGCGTTGGCATATGCCTTTTCAAATGAGTTGTACCATTAGTGACAAACTTCTTGCAGATATGGCATTCATATCGACGTGTTTTGCAAACTTTTTCATGGGCATCTCTATCGGCCATCTGTGAAAATGCTTTGAAGCACCCTCGGCAATGGAACGGGATTTCATTGATATGAGTTACCTTGTGCTTTTTCAGGGACTGCATAGTTGTGGATTCTTTGGAACAAATATCACATCGATATGGTCTCTCGCCAGTATGAGTACGCATGTGTCGATTAACATCCCCTTTGTAATTGCTGGAATATTCACAAAGTGTGCACTTGTGTTTCTTCATCTTTAACGGGTTCGATGGTAGTGATTTCCGTGCTAAAGACTGTAACACATTTTCTGCTGCTCCATTTTCTTGATTCACTTCAACCTCATTCCTTGGTATGCCGTCCAGTTCCATGTTTTCCCTTTTCACCACATGTTCAGTTTCGTTCCTTTTTCAAAAGACAAAGCAAAATAGATTTTTTTTTTTTAATTAAAGACAGAGACAAGACATTTCATTCTCAGATCACAGCGGTCGGTTTTGATTTACCGGTAATCAGAAACTGGAAAACTTCCTCGACTTTCAACCATGTTGGATTGAAACGAAGACATCTTATCATCGAGTTCATCGATCGCTGCTGCATGTCCATCGAGCTCGAGATTACTTCCGTCGTCACTTGAATCATCGGTGTCCAGCAAAACGATCTCTTGAAACGGTCCACTGATTCTCAATCGATCACCGAATTGGGTTGAATCGTTTTTGATTTGGTAGGAAGTTGTGTTTTGAGCAATATTTGCATCACGTTGGTCCATCATTTGGTCTTCAATTCGGGAATGGATTTCGAATCGATTGTACGTTTCCACCAATCTGCATGAGGAACAATATTCAAAAGAATTTGAATTCAAAGAGATTTGTTCTGTACAAAGAAAGTTTCTTATACGTACCGAGCATTGGAAGCATGTAAAAAGTACTGCTTGAACGTTGGGTTGAATTCTAAGCGATTGCGGTTTAACTCCCATTTTATGTTGACCAAAGACTGAAAGGCTTGGTGTTCGAATGCCGTCAGCATTTTTGACATCTCTTTTTCCCAGATCATAGATACCATCGTCATCTACATGAAATTTGAATTTTATTTTTTTTTATTAGAAAAATGAGCAATTTGAGATATGTGCTATGTTTAATTGTATCAGGCGCCATATTGATCAAACCATTTTTTATTTGCACTAATACAACACAAGAAGACCTTTCAAATGGAAAATCATCCCACTTTTTTGATGAATACAATAATTTTCTGATTTTCTGTCATATTTAAAATATAATAAAATCTTGCATCAAACTAACGAAAATTCCTTTGTCAAAAAATTTCATAATTTACCTTTGATCCAGTTGCGGTAAGTATAAAAAAGATTGAGTTTGGCTTGTTACAAAAATGGAATTTTTGCTGTAAGAAAACTGGCGTTTCCGCAATATGCTTCACAATTTTTAGAAATTGATTGTATTTTATGCTCAATTAAACTTGATATCGAGTAGATTATAGAATGCCCAAGATAAATAGATGTGCGTGCTTTGCGCAAAGAAAGGTTGTGTTATAATGACAATACCGTTTTGTAGCAATGTCATGATCTGTCAAACATTGCTTTTTCGCCAATGTAAAATTGTTGTGTGACGAATTCATTTCGCTGCATTTATTCTTGAATATCTTATCTATTTTGTCAAAACTTCAATCTAAGGTTTGATTTAAATAATGAAAATAAGTAGAAGACAAAAAATTACAACGAAATTAATTGTTTATAAACTTTATTGAAAGCAATGAACAGAGAAAATATTTCGAATTTGAAGATGCCATTGTGTTGGCAATTTGAGTGTCGCTTTTCGATTAAATTTATGCATTGATTCTGGTGTGGATGGTGTCCAAATGTTTCTTTAGACTAGATTTTGCCGTAAAACGCGCCATACAAATCTCGCATCGGAATGGTTTTTCACCGTTGTGCTTTCGCATATGCAATTTCAACTTAGGTATATCAACAGTGACAAATTTCTTGCAGATATGACATTCATATCGACGTCTTTTGCACAATTTTTCGTGGGCATCTCGTACAGCCTTTTGCGAAAATTCTTGGAAACATCCTCGACAATGGAACGGTATTTTCTCGGTGTGAGCTACTTTGTGCTTCCTCATGTGATGTAACTGTGTGAATTCTTTGAGGCAAATATCACATTGATATGGTTTCTCGCCTGTGTGAGTACGCATGTGAACATTGAAGTTCCCCTTTTGATTGTTGGAATATTCACAGAGTTGGCACTTGAATTGCTTCTTCACCTGGAACTGGTGTGATGGTTTCTTATTTCCCAGTGATTTTGGAGTCGGGCGTGATTGCATTTTTTCGGCGTCATTAACGACGTTTGGTCGATTGTTCGATGTGACAGTAGATGTTCGTTTGTTTTTGGTGTCCATATCGTAATTCAAATTGAAGAAACTCGACGTGATGCCATCGTCCATTTCCGCTTCATCTGCTTTCATTTCATTATTATTAATGATTTTGTTGCGACGTCCAGCTTTGGTTTGTGTAACATCTTTTCGGCCGTTTAGACCATTTGAGTATGTCTCTGGCATTTCATTGTAGCTTCCTTCGTCGTCATTTTGAAAGAAATCGTTCAATTCAGAGGTTGCGCCAATGTTATTGTATTGAAAAGGAGAGGTGGTCTCTGACGGTTCCACTTTGGGATACGTTGTACCATCGTCTTCATCGCTTGAGTCGATGATTTCAACCGGATTAGGCATGTGATGGCCGTTTTGATGAACTGAGCTCCACATCTGGGACGCATTAGCCATAGAAACGTCTGCACCAAAGTTGTTGTACTCTTCAAACATTCGATTAATTTCGAATTGATTATACGTAGTTTTGATCCTGTTCAAAAGGTAAGAGTTTTAATAATAATAACCCGAATGAAAAGTAGCCACTCTACTCACCGATCATATGAAGCATCCAGGAAAAACTGTTTGAATTCGGCATTTAGTAAGAAGCCATTGTTGTTGAATGCAATTTTAATGTTGTTCAAAGAAATGATTGCTTGGCGATCGAATGCAGCGAGCATCTTGTGCATCTCGTTTTGCCAGTTCATTGTTGATGTATCCATCTAAGGGGACAAAAAGGAACAGATTACGGCGAGAAACTTTTTCTATTCTAAGGATATGTGTTGATCAATCACATTGTCTTGGTTTCATTCTTTGTTTCTTTCAACTGTTCCAACTCCAAAGCTTACCTCTTGGTTTTTCGATCAAATCAATGACAAATATGAATTTTACGTTGGTTAATTTCTTTCAACGGAAAACTCTTTATGGAAAAATCAAAATTAGTCAAATTACACTGTATTCTCTCGGTTTCTTGAGACTTTAATCGCTTTTTGATTAATTAATATCGCGTTGGGCTATAAAAAGTTAAAAAGAAGTTGTGCTTTATGATAGGCAACTTGTAATGAGAATGAGTGCGCAGTTTTTCAAGTAGTGACATGAAATGTCAAAAAAAAAATTTTTTTGGATCATTAAAACTGCTTTGCGGCGAAATCAATTTTCCGCTGTAATTTTTGGAATAATAAAAATCAATAAGTCGAATGATACTCTATGAGGAATATAAACTTTATTTAAAGTAAAAAGAACTTCCAATACGGGAAGCATTTGGAAAGCATTTGTTTGGAATAAAATAATTTGAATATTTTAATGTGTTTAGAAATCGAAGAAATTACTTTGAAGAAATTATGAAACGTATGATATACCTTTCTTTTAGAGAAATTTTTATTTTATTTGCAACAAAAGGAACTTTTAATACAGAAAAGCGCTGAAACATATATTTCGGTACAATAAATTAATAAAGATTAAAAATAGTGTTGATTGAAAATAGTGTTTAAGAAAAGTTTGAAAAGTTTGCAATAGTGAAGGAAACCCTAGAACGTAGTTTCATTGAATCATTCATATTATGCGTTGATTCTGTTGTGGATGGTGTTCAAATGTTGCTCCAGATTAGATTTGAGTGTAAAACGCTTCATACAAATCTCGCATCGAAACGGGGTTTCACCGCTGCGAGTTTTGATGCTTCCAGATACGTCATATTTAATACGATTATGCAGTACCAACAAGCTGTCAAAATGAACTCGCTGCCATCTAGTATTAGAATCTATAATCTATAAACAGCAAATCATTTATGGCGACAGATAGACAATTTATGAGCCAATTGAATGGATTTGAAAATAGAATTTACTTTTAACGATCGTTTATCTCCACACAATCAGTGAATCAAAAGATACAATTTTCTTATCAAATAACTTGGTCAAATTTATTGGGAGTGATTATGGTATATGAATAATTGAGATTTTGGTTGTTTTAAGCTCAAACAATATAATGAATTATAGGATGAATAAATGTGGAAGATGGAAGAGAACCTTTAATGGTTGATTCTGGTGTGAATGGTTTCCAAATGAGATTTCAGATTTCCTTTCTGCGTAAAACGCATCATACAAATCTCGCATCGAAACGGTTTTTCGCCGTTATGTTTTCGCATATGCCTTTTCAACAGAGTTATACCAACAGTGACAAACTTCTTGCAGACATGGCATTCATATCGACGCACTTTGCACACTTTTTCGTGGGCATCTTTTATGGCTTTCTGGGAAAATCCATTGAAACAGCCTCGGCAATGGAACGGAATTTGTTCGATGTGAGTCACTTTGTGCCTCTTCAGGGAACGCATATTTGTGAATTCCTTGCGGCAAATATCACATCGATACGGTTTCTCGACGGTATGCGTACGCATGTGACGATTGAAGTTTCCCTTATGATTGATGGAATATTCACAAATCTGGCACTTGAATCGCTTTTTCATCTCCAACTGGTTTGATGGCTTATTATTCTTCAATGATGTTAAGGCCGATTGACTTTTTTCGCCGTTTGGTCGATTTTTCATTGTACAATGGATGTCCGTTCATTGATGGTGTCAATTTTACGATCCATATTCATAGCGACGCAGTTTTGCAATTCATTTTCTTCAAATTTGATTGCCTCGATAGCTTCATCTATGCTTTGCAAACATTCTTTTTGGAAGATATGGCCATTTTGGTATGTCTCTAGCATTTCATTGAAGCTTCCATCGTCTGTGTCACTTTGAACAAAATCGTTCATTCTGGATGTTGTGTCAGTATTATCGTACTGACACGCAGACGTAGTGTGTGATGATTCGAGTTTAATCTGATCGATTGCAACATCGTCTTCATCGCTTGAGTCGATTATTTCGACTGGATCAGTCATGTAATGATCTTTTATCGGAATTGAGCTTGACATCTGGGATCCATCAACCGTAGATAAGTTTGCATCTGCATCAACACCCATTTTCTCCTCAAACATTGAATAAATTTCGAATTGACGATATGTACTCTTGATCCTGCAAAAATAACGAACTGATGACGCACAATGCATGGTTGGAAATGTTTATATATTTACTTACCGATCATATGAAGCATCCAGAAAATACTGCTTAAATTCGGTGTTAAGCAATAAACCATCACGTTTGAATATCATTCGAATGTTGCTCAAGGACATTCTTGCCTGTCCATCGAACACACCAAGCATGTTGTCCATCTCGTCTCTCCAGCTCAACATTTTTCTGGTTTTATCTAATTTCAATAAACGTAATCCAAATAAAAATGATGATTAATCAGCTATGCTGAAAATATCTTGAGTTTTTAATTAAATTTACAAAAATCTTGTGAATGTTTTCTAGTCTAATTTTACATGATCAAAAACAAGTGTCAAAATCAGAACTGATTGTAAATGTATGATAGTTGATACATTACTTTTTAATCGTCTTTATTTATGTTCAATTTTTTCAACTTTGTACAGGGGGAGGAAAATTTTTTAAGCCTGATATAGAAACACACATTGTATTTTTAAATGACTATATTTATTATTCAAAGTAGTCTCCATGAACACGAATGACACTTTCATATCGATGCTTCAATGCTTTAATTCCTCCTTCAAACCACTCGGCATCTTTGTCCTCCCATACGTTGAAAATATCGTTCGATATCTCTTCTTCGGACTCATATTGCTTCTTCTTTAGATATCTTTTGGTGTTTGGGAACAGGAAATAGTCGCTGGGGGCCAGATCTGGAGAATACGGTGGATGGTGGAGTTGTTCGAACACACATTCCCTGATGGCAGCTTGTGCAAGCAATGATTTGTGAGACGGTGCATTGTCATGCAAAAGAAGAACTTTTCGAGTGAGCAAACCAGGGCCGGTATTCTAATGCCACTTTCCGATCAATTTGTTCGGAATTATTCCGAAAAACATATTTCTTTGAATGAATATTGTTTTGAATAATATTGTAGCACATAACGAGAATAATAGTCGTTATTCATAAGACAAAAAAAATAAACAATATTCCACTTATTTTGTTCGGAATTATTCCGACACCTCTTTCAACAGT